TTTCGCCTTGGCCCTATTCCTCCTTCGCATCAATCCTTTAATCTCATCCGTTAACCAAGGAGCCGGCAAGCATTTGATTTTAATAGGCCGTACTGGAGCATGTATATCGTACAGATCTGTCAGGTAGTTATTAAACAGTTCGACTTTTTCATCCACTGAGCTTGTGGCAAAAATTGCAGTCCAGTCTATCTTAGCGGCATCCTTACGCTGAAGTTGAACCGTCGGCCTCAATTTAGGAGAACGGATTTTGTATGATAAATAAACTAAATCGTGGTACGAAAAAGCATCAGCAGAATATTGACCGTGCTTAATAGCGAAAGAAGGAGAAGAGACTATTAAAAGGTCAAGTAGAGATGAAGTACAGTTGGGAAAATGGTGAGTTTCCTTTGACGGAAGAATGTGTAAATTTAACGAGTTAGCTAAGGAAAGTAACTTTTTGGAGCGGAAGTCATTTTTACTTAAACAGGTATTGAAATCATCCATAATTATAGTATGGGTGTAAGAAGGACTAAAATTTTCAAGATGTTCAAATGAATCGAAGTAATCAACTCGTAGAGAGGGGCTATAGAATACACATAAGAGAACCTTGGTATGACATAAAGAGATCTCAAGAAAGAGATGCTCGGCGCTGTTGGGGGGGTGACGGCTGGGATGAGCTGCTGAGGACGGAAAATGGCATATGAGCACGTAAATAGATAGCCACCCCACCATGAGAGGAACTTACACGATCGTTACGGACTAAATTAAATCCAGGCAAAGTATAGGAAGCGGAAGATAGACAGGGATTAAGAAACGTTTCAGAAACTAGGATGGCATGGATATTCTTGCAATCAAATGATGCAAGCATGTCCGGATAATGAGCGGGGATACTCTGTGCATTTATGTGTACAGCATTAAAATTTTTGCAAACATCACAGAAAGTGTCAGTAAGAAATTCGTTCAGAGGGCGCGTGACGCTTTGAAAGCTGGAATCAGAAGAGGAAGAAGAGGAACAGGAGAAAAATATATAAAAATATCATCATTTAAAGATATATCCATAATATAAAATATATATATAAATTGAAGAGCTTGATTTTTTAATATACATTTTCACGATGTCTTTCACATTTATTTATTTATTCATTTGAAGGGATAGTACACAGCTCAGTACAAACTAATATTATAATTTTTTATTACAATCTAAAGGCCAATTACGGCTATTTAACAAATTACAATTTTATTATTTATCAGAGAAACAGACGAGTGTTCCATTTAAATAAAAACAATAATATTCTAATTAACTCAAGGGAAAGCGTTTGGTTGTTAGTTTGTTAAAACAACAATAATAGGATACTTGGATAAGTATTTTATGTGCATTCTAAGCATTTATAGTTACATGACTGTATTTTGTAAGTATATAAATAAATGAGGAAGATAAAAAAATTGGACAAATAAATAAATGAATATACCCTACACATACTTTTATAACAAAAAAAAGAAAAAGATAATGCTATTGCGATACAGTCTACTCATGTTCAGTCAAACAATGAATGATTCTGTATAGGAATTGTTCTTTAGAACCAACAAAGGGGTCGACGTTACTAAATTAACTATTATAAAGTTTGGGTAACCTAGAGAGTACAGAGTTTTGACTATAATTAGTGCAATGCAATGGAATATGTAGCAGGTGCTTGGACCTAGTATGACGTGGGAGAGTATTAAAGAGTATACGTTTGAGAAGCTCTGGACAGTCAAGACGATCACGAATAATGTCATACAGCAGACCCATATCTAAAACTCGATGCCGGTCAAGAAGCGTTAGTAGGTTGTAAGGTCTCAACATATGATTCCGCGATATCAACCTTTTTACCTTTGAAATTTAGATGTCATACAAATTTCTCTTGTATACCCTCTATGCGATTAATGTAGATATTATAATAAGGTGACCATACTGGAGCCGCATACTCTAACATACTACGTACGTAGGACTAGTAGACTATTTTTGAAGTCATGATATTTTTAAAAGGTTGACAAGTGCGCAAAACAAAACCAAGATTACGATACGCCCTACTCACTATAGTGTCTATGTGTGTAGACATAAGCATCTTACTGTCGAAATAAACTCCGAGATCTCGAACCACCTCTGTTCTCTCTATCACAACATTATCAAAGTTGTAACAATATAATACAGGGTTGGGCTTACGGGTGAAACTAATACATTGACATTATCTTATATTAACTTTGATATTATTTACTGTGTAATAATGAAATAGATTATTAAGGTCGTTCTGCAATACTTCACAATCAGCAGCACCACGGACGCTCATATACACTTTTTTGTCATCAGCGTATAGTAAGTGGTTGGAGTTGATTAATACTTCACTTATGTCAAAGATATAAGCGTTATAGAGGAGTGGTCCGAGATGCGATCCTTGGGGAACGCCAGAAGGAATAGAGACAAAGTCAGATTTATAACCACCAAGAACAACAATCTGAGAACGGTTAGTGAGGTAAGAACGAACCCATCGCAATAAGTCACCGTGTATACCAAGACACCGAAGCTTACAGATGAGGATGGATCCACGCAGTCAAAAGCCTTTTCAAAATCCGTGTAGATCACGTCAACTTGTCCATTTCTCTCCATCTTTTTAAGCACATAATTCGAAAATAACGCTAGATTCGACATAGTACATCTACCACGCAAGAAGCCGTGTTGAGTTTGTGGTATACCTCTCGTAATTGTTGGATAAATCTGTTCAAATAGTTGCTAACGAGAACTAATTTTTCAAATAGTTGCTAACGGTGTTTAGGATTGAAATTGGACGATAGTTCTCGATGAATGATTTAGATCCTTTTTTATGTACCGGAACAATCCTAGCCTGCTTCCAAACGTCAGGAAAAACACCCTCCCTAAGGGATCTGTTAAACAATATAGCGAGGGGAACAGAGAGCGTATCAGCGCAGGATGCCAACAATACCGAAGGGATACCATCACAACCAGGATCCTTGGTCTTATCCACACAACATAGCAATTGTAACACTCTGTTTTTCTCGATATAAATCTGGGCTAAATGCTCCCCGGGGTCACAAAGAAGCGCATCTGATGTTGAATAACCCACCCCTGTGGATGTCACAAATACACTTTCAAAGTATCGACTAAATGCCTTACACACCTCCTCACCTTCCGTGTAACAAATATTATTATGCATGAATATTTTAGGATAACCGCTTGTTCCTCTTTTGGCTTTTACATAAATCTAAAAACATTTAGGTGATTTTTTAATTAATGTTTCTGAGGTATCAATAAAGTGCTAAAAGCACCTCTTCTGCAAGCGATGCTGCCTTTCTCTTAGTAATTTAAATTCATCATAGTCTCTGGGGTTATAATATTTTTTCCAGCGTTTATGGAGTTTTACTTTTTCTTTGTCAATTTTTATTAATGCTGAACTGTACCATGTCGGATATCGTCTACTAGATATCTTAGATAGAGGAACAAATTGAGAAAAGCCAGCTTGTAGTTTCTCATAGAATAAATTGACAGCATCGTTCACAGTTTGGCAGATCATCAGGTGACTCCAATCAGTTTCACTTAAATATTTATTAAATTTATCATAATCGCACTTATAGAAATGAAAACGAGTTTCCTTAATGTCCACAAATGGCGCCACCTGCAGATCTAATACCTCTATGCAAAGGGCAGGGTGATATTTATCCTCCCCGATGAGTGATTGTTGGCACTGTAAAATAGTACACGAAGTTAAACTAAAACATAAGTCCAAAACTTTCGATGTAATATTATGAATTAAATTATATTGCTTAAAACCAAAGAAAATCAAGTGGTCGATAAACGAGATAGCAGACTCCCTCAGAATTTCAGAACCTGTGTTTAGAATGATATATTCATAATTATTGATCCAATTTAAAAATGGAAAATTAAAATCGCCTAAAACAATGACATTGTCCAGCGTATATTTGTCGGTAAAGTGTTGTATGTTACATGCAATTTGATCTAAAAGACTAGAAATGGTATTCAAATTAGGTGGTTTTACTACATGCTACTTTACTACATGCGCAGGTATATACATATTGATTCAATAGCTTCGACTCCACGCCACTGGTCACACAAAGATGCCTCGAGTTCACGTCTAACGCATAGCATTACTCCACCTCCCATTTTTTTATCAGTTACCTGCAAGTTTCGGTCACAACGAAATACATCATACCTATGGTCACACAATTCGGTGTTCATTATATCATCTTGAAGCCATGTCTCAGTAAAAGATAATATATCGAATTCGTTACCCAGGATATTATTCGATAATTGTAAACATTTTGTGCGTAAACCACGAACATTCTGATAATAAATGCTCAAATTTCTATTGTCCATATAATAAGTGGGCATTTTTAAGGATTATAATATAAATTTGATTGTATGCAATCTGTTGTGAGAACATGCTTTGCATTGAAAAGATATATTCATTTTCATTATTTTTCCCATGCAAAATATTTTCCATATAAAACCGGTTATTATTTTGTGATATATATATATAAAATTCCAGGTATTATGTTTATAATAAAAATGAGTAGGCACATAACGGTTCCATAGTTTAAGGTTACGATATAAATAAGACAATAATATGTAAATAAATGAAGTACGAGTATTTATTATTAAAAAATATTTTTTTCTTGTTCCATAAAATGATATAGTAATTAGAAAGGTTGAGGTACACAATAGCTTATAAATAATAATTACAACCAGAAAGTAAACACACAAAGTGTTATTTTTCAATACATGCTTAAAATAATTATCTAGTAGTTGTTCTATCCTTTTTTGTAATTTATTATTTAGTTTATTAAACAAGTAGTAAATAAGGTTACAAAAATGTTAAATCTTTTATAATGTACTAAATACGGAATAACAATGTAAATATATAAACAATACATTATAATTCGTGTTAAATATATAATACTTTCCTTGAGAGCGACATACATTACTGATGACATACACAGAGTTAAACTTTTCACTTTAAATTGTCCAAATCTTTGTATTCCATTATGTTGAGTGGTGGCGAGGTGTCGTTTTTTCGAACAAAGATTTTTCCATTACGTATCCAGGTGTACTGATAGTTAGCTCCAGCAGCGGTCTCCCGGGTCCTTTTGTATAGCATTTTATAAAAAGGAGTAAAATGCTCGTTGATATAAATTCTCCATGGGTTTGAGGTGGTGATTCCTAGATCATTAGAAGTGAGTCCTTTCTTTCTACGGATGGCCGATATTATGGTGTCTTTTATAAGGAGATTTCCCAATTTAGCGATAATATTTTTGGGCATCTTTGAGTTAGGCCTTTTGGAGGGTACACGGTGTATTGATGTTATATCTTCCTTGTTAGTTTGCACATCCAATGCTTTGCATATGGATAAGAAACAATCAGAAAGGTTTCTTGTTTGCTTTCTTTAAATCCGACTATTTCAAGGTTATACAACGATCTTTTTGCTGTTGGATATTAAATTCTCGTTCAAGATGTAATAATCGTTGATTAAAAGTGCCAATGTTTTTATCAACGGTCTTCATATTGGAAATTTCCTTCGATCTCTCGAAGGAAATTTCCAATCCTTTGACTGTGCATGTAGATCTTCAAATTTTTGACTGTGCATGTAGATCTTTAAATTTTTTTGCGTGGAACTCCAGTGATTTCATAACGTCCACCAATTCCACTTTAAATTCTGCTTGTTGCCGAGACAAAATGTCAATGGTTGAAGTTGCTGAACTTACTTGTACTTTTATTACCGTTATTTCTGATTTTAAACATTGTAGCATATCATCATTGGATTTTTTGAGGTCTTGTAAAAATGCCATAATTTCATTTTTGAAACCATATAAATCTTCTTTTTGGACAAGGTTGGAGTCAGGCTGCTTACGCTTACGCGCGATTACTTGTGAGTCGGAGCCTGTAGAATCGTAATCGACGAGATTTGATTGCGATCCCGTTAATGTTGGAGTCGGGCGCAATTTATTTAGTGAACCTTTACTCATTATATCAAGTTTTCAGTTAATATAATTTTCGGCGGGTAGGTGTAAAAGAAAACCACCTTACCTGCTGACGAGTGTTATCCTTACTTAAATCCACATTATTTTAACATTACTCTTCGTGTACATCCCACTACTTTACTTGCTGCAAAATGGAAGCTATCCAAAATTCAATGAACCAGCTACAAAAGATGTTCACGGATAGAATGGATAAATATCAGAGTGACCTTCAAGCCTCAGCACCTTCTACCACCATCTCTAACCTCAACGGTGAATTCTCCACATTTAGGAGCTATATTATGACAGCGCTTCAAAGTCTCCAGGAACAGATCAATCTGCTGGCACAGCAAACTGACAACATCGAAATGCACAGCAGAAAAAAGATGTTGCTTTTGCATGGTCTACTGGAGGAGTCTAATGAGGACACCATAGCTGTTCTTGTGAAAACAGTTACAGATCGTATGAAGATCAGTGGGTTCACCAAAAATGACATCAGCCGCTGCCATCGTATGGGACGCAAGACTGCTACTTCTGACCGTCCTCGACCACTTTTATTAAAACTCCGAGATCAAGAGGTGCGCAGTAAGATTTGGTTCTCTAAAACTGTTTTAAAAGGATCAGGTTTAACCATTTCCGAATTTCTTACGAAGTCTAGGCACGACGCTTTTATGACTGCACGTGAAAAATATGGTGTCAACAAGTGCTTCACCAAATTAGGTTTCGTTTTTGTAATCGCCGGCGATGGGAAGCGCCATCGTATCTCTTTACTTTATGACCTAAACAAGATCTCGTCTGACGATGTGCCTAAGCCGGGTATGAGCAAGGAAACTGCATCATCGACTAGAAGCAAGCGAACGGGCATCAGTAAGAAGTAATATTTGTTGTTATCACTTTTCATTTGTTTTGGTTTTGATGGTTTACTGGTAATGCGGACCGGTGGGCACATATGGATGAAGTACTTTAATCATATCTTTGACTGTCTTCATGTTCCTTCACTCCACTTTTTTTTTTTTTTTATTTATTTATTTACCAACATCTTATACATTTATACAGAATACAGAAAAAGTAAATCTTATAAAACAACTTAGTAAATGCAAAGACAATTATAGGTAAATACTGCATGCAATCCAACATCATTATCTACTTATAAAGACACAGTATATCAACTACATTATATCTATCTTAATTATTAAAATAATTATACAGTATTTCTCTGAATTTATTCTTTGACAACCAATTTATGTCAGTTATATTACTAATACTATTGTATAATCGACTCAAACGTAAAACGGGTGAGTTAAATCCCAAGTTAGTACGACGTCTTGGAAGAGAGAACAACTTGACAGACGAGCGAGGATACCTTAACGGTATCCTGAGCCTAAACTTACTAAGCAACCCGGAGCAATGAATTTCATTCCTGATTAAGCCATATAAAAAAATTAAGTCAAGGACATTGCCTCGGATATTTAAGGGTGTCATTTTAAATCTTTTGAGGCTCTCCATATAAGAATAATGTCTATAGGATATCCCAACCCGCCCTGCCAAACTTCTCAGACAGCGTTTTTGTATTCTTTCCATCCTAAGCTCATGAACAGCATAGTGTGGCCTCCAGACAACACTACAATACTCAAGTATACTGCGAACGTAACAGTTATAAAGCAAAATTATTGTTTTCTCTTGTCGGAATAATTTACTGTTTCTTAGAACGAACCCTAACATTCGCAATGCTTTAGAAATTATAGAATTTATGTGAGGAACATAAGTGAGCTTACTATCTATAATAACTCCTAAATCTCGGATATCTGTAACCTCTTGAATAATATTATTGTCTATTTTATAAATTGATGGAATCATATTTAACTTTCTCGTAAATTTTATGTGAAAACACTTATTAATATTTAGAGACATCTCATTACTCTGACACCAATCAACTAAGCGAAAAAGGTCCTCTTGCAAAAGCAACGCATCGTTTTCAGATTCGATAATTCTTAAAAACTTTAAGTCGTCTGCAAACATAAATGGAACAGAGTACCTGAAACAGCCTGGAAGATCATTTACAAATACGTTGAACAGTAAAGGACCTAAGTGAGAACCCTGCGGCACACCTGAGGAAATTTCAACACAGTCTGACTGATATCCATTGACCACTACATAAAACCTGCGTTTATCCAAGTAAGAGAAAATCCAACTCAAAAAGGAGCCAAAAAAACCGTATGCATTAAGTTTATCTATAAGTATACGATGAGATAATCTGTCAAAAGCCTTGCTAAGGTCTGTATATAATACATCTACTTGCTTTCCAGCGTCTACTGCCGCTATAACATGTTCAGTTTATGATACTAAGTTGGTAGCTGTAGACCTAGCTTTGACAAATCCATGCTGATGTTCAGATAAGAATTGCTTGAAATGATGTTGAATGATTGGGCAAAGCAAGGCCTCAAAAACCTTTGCAGCAACTGACAAAATAGATATTGGTCTATAATGTTTGACTGTCCCGATACCGCCTTCTTTGTGGACAGAAATGACTCTAGCCAGTTTCCAAATTTTAGGGAATGTTCCAGTTTTGAGAGAAAGGTTATAAATCAAATGCAGTGGCTTTGCTAACTCCTTACTACACTTGTATAGAAAAAGAGGTGGTATATCGTCAGGCCCCGAACCCTTCGTGATATCAAGGTGTTTTAATTTCGCGACAACTGTATCATACTTTATTATGATTGGCAATATAAAAGAGATAGAGAAATAATATATAAGATTGGCACTTATTACATTATAGTGCTTTAAGTTTCGTATTACCACGATACCTTGTATTGTGGTCGTGTTTTGATAATCATTTCACATTATTTTTGTCAAACTTAAATCTGTGGCTATTAGCATTATTGTGACATTTGACTTTTGTCAGATTGACTGAGCACTATTTCCTCTGCTTGAAAGCATAGGGATCTGTGTTCATACAGCCATATGTTTTATTTTTGTTATTTTACTCTGTGTATTGTGTAAGTCGGTCCACATTTATTTGTTGATCTAATTTTGTGTCTTTTACATAAATTCCATATATCACTCAACCGGCAGGTGGAATTAGATTGCAGTTTAGATTTAAATAATTATTTATTTATTGCAATTTATATATTTTATATTTAATTTTATCTATTTATTTATTTATTTAACAGTTTATTGTACACAATAAAAACACTAAAGTAACAATACAAATATAACTGACACAACAGGCACTACTTATTTCTAACCAGAAATTTCTTCCAGTAGGCCTACGGAAGGAGATTCATAAAAAGTAAGGCAGACACAACGTGCACAATAATTAAATTGAAATATTTACAATAGATACGACTTTTGACCATAATTACATACTTAACATGAACATAAATGTATACTTACATATTATATACTTACATAAATAAGCATAATAAATAATATATATACATAATATAAGCATAAATACATATATAACACATATAACTAAAAATATTATATATACTAGACAACTAGTGATAAATAGTGCTCTTTGACTCGCTTTTTAAATACAGGTAGTATTAAAATTTTATCTATTTATTTTATTTTATTAGTATGTCTAGTTCTGATTCACAGAGCGACATTGACCCCTTTTTATCGCTGTCATCCAGCATCAGCAGCAGTAACGACAGTTTTGCCAGTATACCTCCTTCACTATCTGAATCACTTGACACACAGTTTTCCGATGTACCAAAGAATTTCAATGTTGTTCACATCAATGCGCAAAGTATTCCGGCCCATTACTATGATATGCAGGCGGCGTTTGATAATAAAAATCTTCACTCTGTATTAGTCTCCGAGTCATGGCTCAAGCCCTGCCTATCTTCAGCTTCATATACTCTGCCCAGTTTTCAACTTATACGGAACGATCGTACTGGCCATGGGGGTGGTGGAGTTGCCATTTATCTACGATCTAGTATCCCATACAAAATTGTTAGTGCCTCCAGTCAACCGCCAGCAAGTAATGCCGATGAGCACCTCTTTATTGAAGTAACGCTTTCTCATCGCAGAGTATAACTCGGTGTCTATTACAGCCCATCAGTTAGAGTTAATTACTTCTCCTCTTTTGAAAGGCTTCTGGAGGATATTATTCCGTCATATGATTGATTGATTGATTGATTGATTGATTGATTGATTGATTGAATATTCTTTATTGCACTATGAAATACAGTAAGAAAGGTACATAAAACTAGATTAAGTAACACAAAAGGCGGCCTTATTGCTAAGGTAGCAATCTCTACCAGGCGACCCTAGGCTAAAGGAAATGATACCAATAAAGAAAAATTAACTGCGGGTTAGTGCAATAGGGGAAACAACACACGAGAACGTATAAAGTGCAAATATATAAATAAAACTTACGATAGTAAAGTAATAGATTGGAAGTTCAAGAGGAATAGTCCAGATTGAGGAAATATTCTTTTATCAATTTATTGAATGAGTTCCGTGATTGCGCGCGTCTGATATCTATAGGCAGAGAGTTCCATAGTTTGATTGCTTTAACTGTAAATGACTTGGCTACGAAATCAGTATTGTGGGAAGGCATGACTAAAGATAAATTATAGGAAGACCGCAGATCTCGGGTAAGATTCGTAGAGTGAAAGACGAAGCGCTCTTTGAGGTAATGCGGTGTGTGTGGGTGAAACAGGATGGAATATAGGAGTGATAGGATATGACAGTCTCTTCTACGAGAGATAGGTAGCCACTGAAGTTGGGTACGATAATCAGAAATATGATCATACTTACGTAGACCAAAGACAAAACGGATACACAAATTCTGCAGTCGCTCAAGTTTATTTAGGAAAACGACACTTAGGTCTGTATAACATGAATCCGCGTAGTCAAGCAAAGGGAGAAGAAGTGACTGAGCAAGAGTGATTTTAGTCTTAGTCGGCAAAAGATTCCTAAGTCGCTTAAGTGAGCTATATGCACCAAATACCCTCCTACTAACCTCTCGGACATGAAGGCTCCAAGACATATTGCAATCAAATATGACACCAAGATTTTTTACAGACTGAGTGAAAGGTATACGATTGCCGTTTATTAAGATAGGTGGCAGTGTATCATAATTTAACCTAGCCTGATACCAATGACTTCCAATGATGATCGCTTGAGATTTTAGAGGATTGACTAACAGACCATGACGCCGACTCCAATCAGATATATGTTCAAGATCATTGTTAATAATGGTAATTGCAGTGGGTATTTCTTCCAACGCACATTGGCTATAAATTTGGAAATCATCTGCATACATGTGATAGGAAGAAGATAGAGGGAGGGCTATTGAATTAATGAAAATAGAGAATAGAAGCGGAGACAAAACGCCACCCTGCGGAACTCCGGCTGTTGTAACGCACCAATCTGAGAGAATATCTCCTACACATATGCGTTGCCGTCGCCCATACAGGTAACTACGAAACCAACCAATCACCTGTGGAGATACATTGAGAGAAACCAGCGTTGCTAGCAAAATTTCGAAATCAACAGTGTTGAATGCATTAGTGAAATCTAACAACGTCAGTATGGTGAGCTGCCGATTTTCCATTCCTGCGCGAATATCATCAGCAATCTTGACAAGTGCAGTAGTCGTACTATGACCGGGACGGAAACCAGATTGAAATGGATTCAGAAGGTTGTTCAAGGAAAGGAATTTACTAAACTGTTGATAAACTAGCTTTTCAAGGACTTTGGAAAGGAAAGGCAATATGGATATAGGCCGGTAATCGGAAAAGCAATCAGGCTTAGGTTTCTTAGGCACAGGCACTATATTTGCATCCTTCCATGCAGAAGGGTAAAAAGACGTCAAGATAGATTTGTTGAGGATGTTGGTAATTACAGGAGTTAGGATATCTAGAAGAGGAATTATCATATTACGACTAATGCAATCGCTACCGATCGCATTGGACAATATAGCAAGTATATTCTTCTCAATGTCACACTCGGTAAATGGTTCAATGACAAAAGGAGCAAATGACGGTGTTGGCATAGAAGAAAGAGTATTTAAAGTATGAGTTTTGATGCTTCCGTCCATAGAAGCAGACGAGGAGAAGAATGTATTCAAGGCATTAATATTAGTATTTGGTGGTAGAGTGGGATTACATTTATTTTTTCCAATACCAAGCTTATTTAGAAATCGCCAAACTTTGGCGGGATCACCGTTTTCAACGGAAGCATGAATATGGCGTCTTTGTTTATCCTTTATCAATGTATTGCAGTGATTTCTGATTTCCCTATAACGATCGCGATTTGAATCTGACGGGTTTTTTTTAAATTTAGATTTGGCACGAACCTTTCTGTCAATTATCTTGCGTACCTCCTCTGTAAGCCAAGGAGCAGGAACATGCTTAACACGTACAGGTCAAACGGGAGCATGATTATCCATGAGATGGATAAGCAACGAGTTAAATAACTCCACCTGTTCGTTAATCGTCTCAAGTCTATCAATATGACCACTCAATTATTATTTATTTTTATTTATTTTATGTGACTTCAATACTTGCCGTCAAAAAAATGATCTCCGTGCCACTTCCTTTCAATCTCTTATTAGGTCTAGGAATCTGCAGATTCTTCCACTTGGAGTCACCCATCGTTTTCCTCACTCAACCCCGTCACTTCTTGACTTGATAATGGTTTCTTCAACTCAGCATGTTTCTAAACACGGCCAATGTTCTGCTGATATTTTCTCATATCATGATTTAATATTTCTTTCCTATAAAATTAGGCCTCCTAAATTAAAGCCCAAAGTCATCCTTCAGCGCAATTTTGGTGGTATAGATCAAGATTCTTTTATGGACGATGCTCGTAATATTGATTGGTCTCCTGTGACCAACGCCTCCTCAGTTGACGAGCAAATAACTACTTTTAATAACCTCGTAACTCAACTTTACGATAACCATGCACCTTCTCATGTCATCAAACTTAACCTTCCTGCACCATGGTTAAATAGTGAAATAAAAGTGCTGATACATAAAAAAGCCATTTCTAAAAGCAAATTTAAACGTAATCCGAGTGAACTCAACAAAGAGAAATATACCAAGGTTCGTAACCACTGCAATATGATGTGTAGGGATGCTTTACGACGCCACATTCATAATTCAGTCGAAGAGGATGATCCAGCTAAAGTCTGGAGATTCCTCAGATCTCTAGGGATTGGAAGAACACGTCAAGACTCCTTACCTCATCACATTAATATCGATTCTCTCAATTCTTCTTCTTCCTCTGAGCTTAGTGATTCGGATAAAAATCGAACTATTCGACAACTTTCTACTTTACCAAATCCTGAGTACTCTCCGTTTCTTTTTACTCAGTTTACGGAATGTGATGTTAAGAAGAGCATTTTATCTATCAGTTCCAATGCAGTTGGTGCTGACGGAATTAAAAACTGGAGACTCCTGTGCCATTCATAAACTAGATAACGACATAACCCTGACCCAATCACATATTGAAAATTTGTATAACCTCTGTTTACATTACACTGTAGTTGTAAATAATAATATTTATGTTTGTAAATGTATATAAATTTAGGATGTGCTCTCAGTCCGCACCAACCATGCATTTTGAATGCCTTAGCTACGAAATTGTACATAACTCCCGAATTTAATAAATTTTTGTCGCAAAGAAATATGTTTGTGTTTGTTGATGTATATAAATTTGTTTTTATTCTCAGTCTGAACCGAACATGTGTTACGAATACCATAACTACAGCAGCAGTATTTTGTGGTTTCAAATGAGCGATATGAATATGACAATATATAGCCCCCCCCAATGCAGTTTCCCTCGATTATACAATGCATATATGAGACATTACTTAATAATATATAGTTATTACAGCTTCCATCCAGTCATATTCCAGTAGGACAGAGAACTCTATCAACATTCATCTGAGACTTGAGCATATAAGCAGGCGAGCCATCCGTCCGAACTCGTGGACGAGACGGGGACGCATATATCCGAACATATATGCGTCCCCGTCTCGTCCACGAGTAACGCCATTGCAGCTTTTTACATTCTTCCCGAACCAGGTGAAATAACTGTCGGTTCTGGCGTGTCAATCGCTCATTAAGAAAGACGCGGCCCTCATTAGGACCAGTGAGAGTGCGGCGCACCCGCGCCGCAGCAAGCAGCTCGTCTCGCAGTTGTCGTCGCGCCAGACACACCACCACGCGGCGCGGCCTGCCACCGGCCTCGGCTGGAGGCGGGCCAACGCGCTCCGCAAACGCCACATCCCGCTGCTCCAGGGTGACTCTCAGCCGTCCGGCGAGGACAATCACTGATTGGGCTACGCTCACCCCCTTATCCTCCGGAAGCCGACCTATCTCTAAATCCGAAAGAAGGGCCTCCTGGTCCCGGTCGTTGAGTTCTTGTTTCAACTTGGTGATAGTGCGCTCCAGCTCCGCGGCTCCCCCTGTCCCAGGATCCGGGTGATGCTGCTCGAGCGCCCCCAGCCTCTGTTCGACACCCTCTAGTCGCGCTGAAAAAGACTCACGCAGAACAGCCATTTCCCTGCGGAACTCCCGCATCTCCGCCATAAATTCTGCTAAAACCCTGTCTCGCTGATCCTCCTTACTGTCACACGCGTCACCAGATATGCCTGGTTCAGAAATTGTTGTTATCGGAGATGTACGGCCGATAGCTCTCACCGGTGTCTGGCTATTATCGCCCTTTCGAACATTTGCTGTACAATTTGGGCAAACCCAGTTCTTACTTACGGCGGTCCTTTCCGGTAGAGCCACGCAGGCCTTGTGATACTTCCCAGGGCGTACAGAACAGTTAGCGCCACTCGCTGCGGAAAGAAATTTTCCGCAGGCACCACAGTGAAGCATAATGGTTCTTAACTTTATCTGCTTCTAATTATACTAGGTATATGGCTATTTTCCGCTAGATGGCGTTCAGTCGCGCTTTAATATAGTATTGGTCTCTTATTTGATGATTTCTCCGCTGCTCGGTAGATGGCACTTTAGGGTATTAAGTGTCGGACCCTATATTAATTTATCAAAAGCTTAAATAAGAAAACACGTGCACTCTATAACTCCGTATATTAGCGACTAGTTAAAAAGTCTTTGTTCTACAGACGCTAACAAATTGTTTATAAGCATCTCACAACTAAACTGTACATGTACATGTAGGCATATGTGTCCCTACAGTACTCCCCCTCTTACAATAAAAAATAAAAGTACACATCACATATTGTAAGAAATGTAAAAGAACAATACAATAAAGAACAATAAAAATAATATAAACAATTTTTAAATAAATGACAAGTAATTAAAGTAAATATAAAATAATATGTCATATAAAACATTTAATTTTTATCGAATACAAATTCTTACTTATTAGTAAACAAATTAAATTAATTTACATGTTTCCTATCAAAAGCTTATTACTAAACAAAATTACTGTTTAATAGTATCTAAATCCTAACCAATCTAAAATTATATTTATTATACTCTACAAATACATGTTGAATATGGAATTGAACCTATAATTTCCACAACCACTAAACCTAATATTCACTATGCTACTTATTCACTACTATTCACGTATCGTATCGATTTGTTTACATTAACAAATGAGTAATATTTACATTAACAAATTGTGGCAACGCGGCGATCTTGTAAGCTGAGTACAAAAATTGGTTGACAAAAGTTCTTTGTTTAAATCAGTACCCACTGTTATTATTTCTAGAGTTGTATCGATGAAATTGAAATCTTGAGAACAGAACTACCTATTATTTAATTAACAAAGACTTCCGCTTGCTTCGTATTTCGTATACTGTTCTCTATGCTTCGTCCGTTCGACTAGCTTCGCTATAGGTACGTATGTATTACGTCATGCTGTAAAACGTACGGGTGTATTGATAACGCGGCCACTACGCGTAGTTCTCGGCTGTAGAGCTTTACTGGAAGTGACCTCGTTATCTAAACTAGAATCGTTACTCTTATTAAAATTCGAACTATAACTAAAATCTTTATCACTATTTATAAAAAATGCTGGTTTTAATCTTTCTATTGAAATAGTTTTCGTCTTATCTCCTATTTTAATATCGAAAGTTTTGCCTTTCCGACTTACAACGTCGTAAGGGCCATCATAAGGAGGTTGCAAAGATTTACGAAATACGTCATTTCTTATGAATACACTCTTACAACTATTTAATTCGCTAGGCAGAAATAACGAACGTGAATTACCATGACTTGACGGTTTAGGTCTTAAACTTTTAATGGAATCGCGAAGATTTTGTAAATATTCCGAATCCGAGCAATTTAATTTGGAATCTTCATAAAAATCACCTGGCAAACGAATTGTTTTACCATAAGTTAACTCTGCTGCACTGACGCCACTGTCACTGCGGGTTACGGCTCGTAAGCCTAACAACACGACTGGAAGCTCGGTCACCCAGTTACTATTGCAGTTTAAACGTGCCGTAAGTGACACTTTTAGTGCTCGATGCCATCGCTCAACCATGCCGTTACTCTGCGGATGATAAGGTGTTGTTCGCATTTTAAAAATACCTAGTGTTAGCTTTCACATCGCAAGATTGTTCATATGTGTACATATATAATTGTCTTAATTTCAAATGTAATAATGTCTATTTATAAATTTAATTAATGTTAATTGTACCGCGTTCCCAAGTTAAAACTACCGTCATGATAAATGTTGTTAAGTAGTCTACCGCCATTAATTGAATCGAATCAGTATCGAATAAAAGACACTTGGGAACACGGTAGTGGGAAGGACGCAGTCTAACGCTGGCGTCGGAGAAGTGAAGACGTGTCGAATATAACTTTATAATAAATTGTGATTGTGATACTTATAATAAACATCTAATTAGACTCTGCGTTTCCAATTCGATTTAATCCGGTTCGCTAATAGATCAGAAGTGGGATTGCATCGAAGGAATCATCTTTGGTGTTACCATACGCCCAGTGTAGCGAAATAACAAGGTATAGTGCTTACATCTTATATTCCTAATATTTTTTTTTATCTTTTATATGCATGAGCCGTTATTTAGAACTAAATGAAGTACTTATATATCATTTCATATGATGGAAGTAAAATAAGTTCTTTTTTTTTAGTTTCTTGATTCTATATTAAGTACTTACCCACCTAAATTATTGAAAATAAGATGCCCTAAGTAGAACATTGAAAAAAAAGCATAAATAAAACTACCCACTGGTTAGAGTAAATTATTTTACTTTCTATATTAAGGCTACGAAATGCAATTACTTGTACAATACTTAAACGCTTTAGAGAAACGAATGGAGCGACGCGATCGTGTCTCGGCATCAATCAGAGGTGAGCTGGTGCCCTTTTGTGAGAACTCGCAAAGCAGCAGCAGCATGCAGCGCAGTAGAAACCGAGTATCTCGCAGCAGCAGCAGCAGCAGCATGCAGCGCAGTAGAAGCCAAGTGACTCGCAGTAGCAGCAGCAGCATGCAGCGCAGCAGCTGCCACATGCAGCGGGTCAGCAGCCACGTGCAACGGATCAACAACAGCGTGCAGAGCCGCAGCAGCCGCAGTGGCAGCCGCGTTCGCAGCTGCAGCAGCCGTCACGTGCGGCGTCACAGCAGCCGCTGTAGCCGGATACAGCCAACTATCCAGTCATCGCACAGATACTACAGTAAGCCTAAAGAGACTAACTCAATTTTCAACTACAATTTGCTTGCACAAACATTTAAAGATCTTGTTCAGACCATGAAAACTGATGACAGTGGAGAGCGTTATCCGCTCCTAAATGTAATACCCGAATTTGATCCCTTAAAACGTAATCAGACTGTTGACATGTGGTTGTCTAAAGTTAACGAGTGTGCTAAAATGTATAGCTGGTCGGAAAGACAAACTATTCATTATGTATTACCCAAATTAACAGGAGTTGCTCAAAAATGGTATCAAGGGCTCCCCGAATTCACATTTTCATGGTCGGAATGGCAATCTAAATTACGTAACGCCTTTTCCATTAATGAAAATTATGGTCTGTTATTGTTAGATATGTTTGCCTGTAAAGCTAGTATAGGAGAAACATTAGAAGAATATTTTTATGAGAAAATGGTTCTGTTAAATAGATGTAATATTACTGGTAAAAATGCAGTAGATTGTATTCTGCTTGGTATAGAAGATCGTTTTATAAGAACCAGTGCTGAAGCAGCCCAATATACCGACCCTGAAAAATTATTGGTATATTTAAAGGGGGTTAAAATAATCAAAAAAACCGACCACGCGTTGCGGCAGGCTAGCATGTATGACAATAAAAGGCCGAGGTCTAAATACACTAATAACACATCACAAACCAAACCCAAATGTTATAATTGTAAAGAAGAAGGTCATGCTTATTATAACTGCAAACGGCCGATTCAGAAATGTACAACCTGTAATAAGATAGGGCATATTAGTAGCAATTGTCCTGTTAAAGGAGATACCGTTCCCAAAACGGTGTTACGTATATCTCAAAAGAAGGGTAACGACTCCAAATACTTTAAGCCTGCCTTTGTAAACGGTATGAAAGTGGATTGTTTTATAGACTTTGGAAGTCAGTATACTATGTTAAAGGAATTTGCAGCAAGAAATTTAACACTTTCTTGGTCGGTAGATAATTTACCTGTTTTAAGAGGTTTCGGGGATTCTATAGTTCATTGTATCGGTAAATGTGATGTTGAAATTCAAATAGACTCTATTAAGGCAGTAGTAGTAGCTCTTATAGTTCCAGACCAATTATTGCAAGTTTCCTTATTGTTGGGACAAACTTTTACAGAACAAGATCACATTGTAGTTATTAAAACTAATAATATATTAAATTTCTCCAGTAAGTCTTCACAAAAGTTTATCAATATCGGTTTACATCTGTTCAATGATACATATATAAGTGGTTTGACTCCAGTTGAAGTTAATTCAATGCCTAATTATACGGGCGTTGTGTTAATAGAATCAAGTACATGTCACGAACCTGATAGGGAATACGAAATAGTTCAAAGCATAATAAGTTTAAAAGATGGTATGGGAATAGTAACTTTAAACGGATTGAATTCACGAGAATTCTTTTTAAAACAAGGTAGATTATTGATCCGTAGTATAGCAATTGCTGACTCACAATTTTATAATGTCAACCGAATCTTAGCCACAGACAAATGTCTACCGATTTCTGACATTGATACTACATTGAATAACACAGACTCTGATTTAAGTAAGGAAGATAAAGAAATATTACATAAACTATTGAACGAATATAGAGATTGTTTTGCGTTCTCAGTAAGGGAATTAGGGTGTATTAAAGGGGTAGAAATGGATATTCAACTGAGTGATAATACTCCTGTTGTTTATAGACCATATAGGCTAGTACATTCGGAACGTGAAATAGTAAAGGAATGGTTCAAGAGTTGAAGGATTCTGGAATAATTCGCCCATCTACTTCTCAATATGCATCACCAATTTTATTAATTAAAAAGAAAACTGATGATTATAGACTTTGCATAGATTTTAGAGCACTAAATAAAAAAACCATTAAAGAGCATTATCCCTTACCAAGAATTGACGATCAATTAGACAATTTGTCAGGATTTAAGTATTACACAACTCTTGACCTTGCATCAGGTTATTACCAATTATTAATGGCAGATACTGCTAAACATTTGACTGCATTTGTGACACCAGATGGTCATTTCGAATTTAATCGAATGCCATTTGGCCTGGCAAACGCTCCATCAAATTTTCAAAGAGCTATTAATAATATACTTGGGAACGCGCGGTTTAAAGATGCGTTTGCTTACATGGATGATGTGATCATTCCGTCTAGGACTATAGAAGAGGGTTTCGATAAATTGCGTAATATATTA